GTATTTGTAGAAGGGTCTGGTTAGCTCAAGGCCCTCGCTGTGGATTTTGCGCTGGGGCCAGGGCCTGCTGCCGCCAAGCATGAGAGAGTGGCTGAGTTGCCAGCGGGCAGTCCTTCTAGAAGACTCTGGGGTCTGCCCAGAGTCACAGGGAGAGGAGGCAGGGAGCCTGGAGTTCCGCTCTGGGTTTCCATTTTAGATCAACAGCGGGTGATGGGTGTGTGAGTAGCACCACAGCGACATCCGGAAGGGCCAGGAGCTGGTGGCATGGGCTCCTTCACCCACCAAGTCCTCCTCACCTCTCAGGGCGTACACGGCTCAGCCATCATCTCTGGTCGCTTAACTGATGGAGTGAGGGCTGGGCTGCTACCTCTGGCAGAGCTGGCAGCCTTTACCACGCTCTCCTGGAGCCTCCCACCACAGACAAAGACAGACCACTCTGCTGGAAGGGCCACACGGATGGGCCCTGAGTCCCCGTGGTGAGGAAGAGGGGCTCAGCTGAGCCCAGCCTCCCAGCCATCCCCACAATGTGCCAGGCATGTGAGTGAAGCTATCTCAGACTCCTCAGACCAGACTGGCCACCAGGTAAATGCCACTGAGTGGCCCCACTCAATGTCACGTGGCACAGAAGCAACCAGCCAAACCCTTCCTGAATTCACGACCCACACGTCTGTATGATACGATGTAATGATTGTTTAAAGTCACTCAATTCAGGGGGGCAGTTTGTTACGCAGCCATAGCTAACGGATACAATATAAAAGCCTGCAATTCAGGCATCAGCACCACCAACAGCCATGAAACCCTGCGGGAGTGAATGCCTTTGGGGTATCTGCTTAGTCTCTTTCTTTTCTGTGATTCACCCCCACTTTCACCCCATCACCTCAAACTGCCATCTTGCATTTTTCTCGTACCCCAGCCTCAGCTGTTTGGATTAGCGGGAGACATGGGACCAAAACCGGTCCAGTCTGATTGTCTCCCAGCCAACTCCCTGTCCCTAGCCACAGTTGACAGGAGCTAAGCCAATCAGTCTCTAAGACTTTAGAACGCGAATCAGAGGTGACTGGAGCAACCATTTCCTCCCGTGTGTCGGGAAGCATGGAGAAAGCTGGTCTGCTGTGGAGAAGATGATGCAGGCGTGTAGAGGAGCAGGGGGAAGGGCTGTGTAGGACAATGGGATGGGGGGGGGGGGAGAGTGCCTGCTTTGGTTTGTGGACATTTTCTGGGTCTGAATACACACATTTCCTTTGGTATCTATGAGGACCTTGCATCCTTAGAATTCTCTCTCTTGCTTAAGTGGCAATGAATACATTCCTGTCTGTGTGTGTGTGTGTGTGTGTGTGTGTGTGTGCAACTTGAAAAAATGGCTGAGATAAATATGTTCAGCCCTAGAAACAAGAGAAAACTGCCCAGGCTAGCGAGGTGATAGAACGTCCTTCTGTTGACTTGCCCTCTGCTTGGTGAGGGTGACTGGGAGGAAGTCTAGTCTCCCGGAGGCAACCGCACTCACAAAGCCTGACACTAAACTCCTTCTCTTCCATAACGGCTCCCAGCCCTGCCGTCCTCACCTGGTTAGGGAAGCCACTCACCATCTACTCTAAAGCCAGTAAGAGACACATACTGTTTCCTTCCCGATCCCTCAAGTCCAACTGGCCAACACCTCCTGCCTCTTCTAACTGGGTCCCCTCCTCTACACCCTGGAGATGGACCTCGTCCCCATCCTGTCCCCAGATCTCCCTCTTGAAACAGATGAAGCCACAACACTGCTCTGCTTCCAGACCCCCATGCTCCCCCGTTCTCCTGGTCAGGCGGGCCCATCCCAGCTGAGGGAGGTCATCTCACGGCGGCCACTGACTGCCCTCCCCTGACACACCTCACAAGCTGCCCCCCATGAAGCCTGCTCATCTCTCACCTCCTCTCCCTCTGCATGGAATATCCACCTGCCCTCCGTTGCCTGGAAAACCCAAACCAAATGCAAGGTCAAACCTCGCCTGGTGAAGGCCCTGTGATTGCCGCCCTCTGCTCTCCTCCCCAGGCCACGGCCGAGGGGGATGTCTGCCTTCACGGTCCTGGCTCTTTTGGGTCACACACAGCTGGGTGACCTCAGGGTCTTGGCTGCCCCACGGCAGCCACCTCCTGTGACACATTCTTTACTCAAACACAACCAAAGCAAAGCTAAGCAGATGGCGGGTGAAGGCATGTGCTCGGGAGATGGGACCCCCTGTGCCGCAGAGCCAAGAGGGAGGCCAGAAGGAGGGCATCCGAGCCATGACAGCAAGTGGACACACTGCCCACTCTGTCCCTGTCTTGTCCCACACACCCAATCAGGGAGGATGGCACTTCTTCTCATCTCAAGAGCCCATGCAAAGGCAGATGGAAGGAAGGGACACACACACACACACACACACACACACACACACACACACATACACACACCCCAAAGCCCTTAATGTCTTTTCAGATCTCACACACTGAGCTGGCTTTGTTCTCCACCCACAGACCAGCGGCTGTCTCAGCAGGAAGGAGTTGGAGAAAACGAAGCATTAAGAATCCATCCGGCCACACTGATTAAACAAACAACAAATTGGCAGATTAAAAAGAAAAATAAAAAAGGTAATATCCACTCCTGGCAAATATACAGGAAACTGGGCACTTAGGATACACGGCTTACAGGAGGGTGCATGGTGTAACCTTTCTGGAGGGCAATTGGCAATATGTGATAAAAGGCTTGATATACACATTTCTTTTGACTCGGTAATGCCATTTCCAGGATTTCATCTTAAGCACATAACGAAGGATTTGTGCAAATATTTGGCTCCAAGGTTATTCGCCGCGGCACTGTTGAAAGAAGTGTGAACCTGGGAGCCACCTAAATTCCAACATCAGAGGTGGGTGAGTAATCTGCAGGCCCTGCAGCCTTAAGGCAGCGCTGGAAACAGGTTGTTAACGACATGGAAAGATGACTAGATACTGTGAACAGACGCCTGGTGTCTGAAATGCATGGGATGTAAGATAAATGTATTTTCATGTAATATGCTCAGTATACTTTTCTTTTAAAAATTTTTATCTTAAAATTTGACTTTTAGAAAGAAGAAGGGAGGGAAAGGGCAGAGAGAAAGAGAGAGAGAGAAACATTGATATGTTGTTCCACTTATTTATGCATTCACTGGTTAACTTTTGTATTATGCCCTTGACCGGGGGGGTTGAACCTGCAACCTTGGTGTATTGCGACGACGCTCTAACCAACTGAGCTACCCAACTAGGGCTCAAAATACTGTTCTTCAACTTCCAGATACCTTTTCAGGTGAAGTATCTCTAAACTTAAAGCAATCAGCGATTAAGTCCAACTGTCAATCTGAAAAATCCTATATAATAAAAGCCCAGCGACCAAACGGCAGAATGACTAGAACGACCAGTTTACCAGTTGCTATGACAAGCACTGACCACTAGGGGGGCAGACCTCAATGCAGGAGCTGCCCCCTGGTAGTCAGTGAGCTCCCACAGTGGGAGCGCTGCTTGGCTGACTGGGATGAGCGGTGCTCCCACAGCATGCTGATCCCCGCAGGCCACACCCCCCACCAGAGCACAAATCTTGTGCACCGGGCATCTAGTGTCCAATAAAACACTATTTTTTTCTGTGTTTCTAGACTTCTTAGATAAAAGGGTAGTTATTATACTTCTCCAGATGAATAATTAAGCCCAACGCTTTCATTTTAGAGGTCTTACACCTGAAAATACATCAAGCATGTTCTGGGAAAATGTAACAAGCATGTAACATGCTACTCAACCAAGCAAACGCCTGGAGAATGCCTGGCCTGTGTCTATTTTGCAGAAAAGGGCCAGGAAGAGGCAGCACTGTGTCACCATGGTTATTTCTGGGACGTGGACTCTGAGTGCTTTACAATTTTTTTTCCTCTTTTTTAAAATTTATTTTTATTGATTTCAGAGAGGAAGGGAGAGGGAGAGAAAGAGGTGGAAACATCAATGATGAGAGAGAATCATTGATTGGCTGCCTCCTGCAAGCCCCCTAATGGGGATTGAGCCCATAACCTTGGCATGTGCCCTTGGCCCAAATCAAACTTGGGACCCTTCAGTCCGCAGGCCAACGCTCTACCCATTGAGCCAAACCAGCTAGGGCTTCCCCCCCATCCCCCCCTTATTATGTTGGAACACTAAATACAAGTTATTTTGTAATCCCAACGAAACTAATTATTTAAATGTAAAGCATCCATTCGTAATACTGTAAGAGGCTGTTTCCGCCTGCATCTGAAACCTGGAAATCTGGGAAGGCAGGGCCTGGCATCCGGGAGTCCCAGCTCCGGTCCCTGGTGCTACTGTAGGAGCCGGGACACTGTGGAAACAAGAACAGACAGGGCCTCACCCACCAGGAACATGGCTGGCCGGTGGGAGACACAGACCTTCATCGGATCATGACCAACACGCTGTGGATGAACACAGAGGCTCTGAAGGGTAAGGACTCCAGCTCTCTGAGAGCAGACTGTGAGGCAAAGAAACCATCCTAGACTTGGGGGCGAGGACACCCCTTTCTCCTTGAGGAAGTGACAAGAGGTAAGTCACAAAGGATGAGCAGGTGCTCCTGGGGAAGGAGGCGGGGCAAGTCTACACCCGGGTCACCTACCCATGCACCACCCTGGGGTGGGAGAAGTTACGATGCAGCGGCCCTGGCAGGACTCGGGGCCTGTAGCCCATCTCAGTTACCAAGAAATCGCTCTCTTATTCCACATGCGGCAGAAACAGTGAGTCTCTCTGTAGTCCCTTCTCTTGTACCTGTACTCCCCCCGACCCCAAATAAATGGTACACCAGCCAAGTCCCAGAGGTTACTCCCCAGGCTCCTGTTTTGAGTGACGCTGCCACCCGTCTGCCGTGCCTGCCCCGTGAAGGACGCTCCAGCAGGAATCCTCTCCCAGAGCCTCTCACCGGGCGAGGCGGGAGGGCCGGGCGCCCAGAGGTGGGGGCCTCTGGGGACCCGCGATCGCAGACTCACCTTCCAGAGCAGCACGGCCAGCAGCAGGAAGATGAGGATCCCCACCAGCAAACTGATGGCGATGATCCACCCCACGACGTAGCCACGGGGTTCCAGGTTGTGCAAGGCCTCGAACACCACCTAGGAGGCAAAGGCAGCGAGAGTGAGAGCGCTTCCCGCCGGGAGTGGCCCTGGCAGGACGGAGCCCAGGCTGGACTTGGAGTGAACCAGAGCAGAAACCACCCCTTCCCACCTGAAGGCAAATGGAAGGAAAGCTGCCTACAAAACCTGGCAGGCGCTCTGGGAACGGACGTGAGGCTTCTTTGTGACGCATGCTCACTAGCTGTGTGACCTTGGGCAAAGCCCCTGACCTCTCTGAGCCTCATTTTTCTCATCTGCAAAACAGGGATAGAACAGCATCTCCCAGAGAATCCAAGGGTAATGCAGACAGACCCCCAGCACAGCACCTGGCAGAGCTCACCCAGGACGCGTGGGGGGGGGGGCGGGGGTGTGTGTGCTCCTATTAGCATCGTCATGGCTGGCAGGGACATTCTTTTTGAGGTCGGGCATGGTTGGCTACTTTTTAATTTTTAAAAACGATTTATTGACATCTAATATAGAGAAAGGTTTATCTAACCTAAGTTAGGAGTTTCCACGCACTCAATGCTAAGCGCATCTGTGGAACCTGTACCGAGATCAAGTTCTGAATGTGACCAATCCCCCCCCCCCCCCCATGAGCCCCTTCACCCTCCTTTCCAGTCTCATCTCCCACCGAGGGGAACACCAGCCTGGCTTCCACCAGCCTGGATTGGCCTCCCCTGCTTTTGTCCTCGATGTACCTGGAATTCAACATCATGTTTGGGAGGTTGAGCCGGGCTGTGGCCCGTTTGTTCTCATTGCTGGACGGCATCTCACCGTGTGAAGACGCTGTTGCTTTATCCAGCGTCTTTATCCAAACGTTAGAGCCCATTGCCATCCCGCCACGATTTTCAGGCACGAGGCCACGCTGAAGGAGGGGTGCCTGGGAGTGGGAGGTGGCGGGATGGCAATGGGCTCTAACGTTTGTCACCTAAACCCACTGTTTTCTATCTGGTTCCGATGAGAGAGTCCTGTCCCAAAGTCAGAGTCATGCCTTTGGGTTCCTGCCCCTAAGAAGCCGTGTGTCGAATCACCTCCCACATTTAGACTCTCTCGTGGTGTCCTGTCCAGATGAACCATGCAACACTATTGGCCAAGAAGCGTGACTTGAGGCCACCAGGACACGACTCTGTGTCCTCCTCTGTGGACTGGGGTCTGAAAGGGACATGACATCGTTTATGTAAGATCCCGGCGTGCGGTCGCGGAATAAAAGCTGCTGGAGCTTCTTGTTGACCATGAAGCGCTGAGACCGGCTGTGAGCTCCCAGGGGGTCAGCTGCGAGGAGCAGCCCTTTGGGTGACCCTGTTGGCTTCTCAGGGACATTGCATCCCATCGAAGCCACCTGGGAGGTCTGGTTCTGTGGAGACAGACACAGGGAGAGTTTCCGCTACAGTTTAGTCTGGCAAGTTCCGCAAGAATGCGCCGTCACTTCCCCGGAATGCGTGCTTAATCTTTTATTATTTTTAGTGATGCCGGTCAGCTTCTTGGACGTGCGCTAGATGCTTTGGCAGGGCCGGTTCCCGCCCATCGCGGCTCGGATAAACTCCTCTGTGGGTGGAGATCCCAGCATCCTGCGGTTCTAAGAAGTCCCATCTTAGATGGAAACCCGAAAGGAAGAAAAGCAGCCTGGGCTCCGGGGACAGACAAGACAAGCAGGTCTCGCCTCCACCACGGACGCATCCTGTCTCTAGACATCTTTTTTCTCTGACCCTTCGTCCCACCCCCAGTGGCTGCCCCAGGTCAGGTCTGTTCTCTCACCAGCACCGTTTCAGGAGGCGGGGAGAGGCCTCACAGCTGCTGTCTTTGTAAAACACAGGACTCATCACGTTGCTTCTCAGTTTACAAGATCGACGGCTTCCCTTTATACTGAATCTGTATTACAGCACAGGGAACAAGCTGGTCCCCTCCCCAGATGTTCGTGTATTCATGACATTCTGGCCAATGAGCATCATCTCCCCTGTGAGACCTGGCTTTTTATCCCTCTGAATGCCTTTCTGTTCCCCGTGTGACAAACTCCAATACTGCTCACCTTACAAACGTTCCTATCTTTTGTTGTTGTTAATCCTCACCCGAGGATATTTTTTCCATTGATTTTTAGAGACGTGGAAGGGATGGGGAGAGACACAGAGAGAGAAACATCGATGTGAGAGAGACACATTGATTGGTTGCCTCCTGCATGGGGATCAAGCCTGCAACTGGGGACGTGCCCTTGACTGGAATCGAACCCACAGCCCTTCAGTCCTCGGGACAACACTCTATCCAGATCTCGGTAGAGCTGTTCCTACTCTTTGATCCATGAGTTCCGCACTTAAACATTTACAGGAAAAGTTTTCTATTCAAAGAGGGTCGCTGCAGAATTATTTAAATTGGTGCAGAAGTAGAAATATTCTAAATGTCCAACCACAGGGCAACAGGTCAGTCAGTCATGATCACTCATGAAGTGGAATCCCACAGAGCTACTGAAAATGGCGATGATAAATCTGGCTGTCACAGTATGATTCTCAAAAACGTAAACCATGACTCTCATATAGAAATATAGCGAATACATGTTAATTAAAGACGCATTTAATTCGTTACTGTGGGAATCAGCAGGCTGGCAAAGGCAGTTCGAAGAAGGCTCTGACTACAGGGTGGGGCAAAAGTCAGTTTACAGTTGTGAGCACCGGATGTGCAGAATTTATTTTTTAAAAATGTATTTTTATTGATTTCAGTAAGGAAGGGAGGGGGAGAGAGAGATAGAAACATCCATGATGAGAGAGAATCAGCGACTGGCTGCCTCCTACACGCTCCCCACTGGGGATCGAGCCTGCAACCCAGGCATGTGCCCTGACCAGGAATCAAACTGTGACCTCCTGGTTGATAGGCTGACGCTCAACCACTGAGCCATGCCGGCTGGGCCAGCATTGATTCTCGTATTATTACTTATTAATTACTGTATTATTTTCCATAAGCACAGCTGTAAACGTGTAGTCACGGAAAAACAACAAACAAAAGAATTCTGAAACTGGATACAAAACTCGGTAATTCCCAAGAGGTGCATATATTATAGCTTATATAACCTTTTGTATTATAGTTTCAGCCAGACAGAAATCACTTTCATCTTTTCTGGCGGAAGTCGTTTATCAGTTATCCTCTCCTCTGGGTTAACATGGAACTTCACAGAAGCTGGGTCCTAGAAGGTCAAACAGGCCGGTGGCACCAGCGCTGTTCTCGTTTCAACGTGTGCGAGGCCACAGGGAACCCGATCACAGGGCGGGTTCTGAACAGCCAGGCAGGCGGGGGCCTGGGACTCTCCGTGTCCAATAAGCCCCAGGCAGGCCAGGGCTGCTGGGCCGCGGCCGCACTTCAGGAGAAGGGGACAGAGTTTGCTCTAAGATGCCAGGTAGGACAACTTTTTGACTGATACCAAGTTTTAAGTTCTTTGAAAATGTGACAGTAACAGGGGGGAAATAATAAATGTTCTAACGGTGAGTGAAGAAAATCAGGATATCAATTTAATATATAGAAGACTTCAGCTTTGCAAAAAACAACAACACACACACACAGTAGAAACATTTAAAAGTAAAAGGTGGTTTCTGAGATGATGGTTGCTTTTTTCGTTTCTATTTCTTACTATTGAATATGTTTCTCACTGAGCATTTAGAGCCAAGTTAAACAAAATTAACGAGAGGCTCTGCCCCAGTGCCCCCTCTTCCAAGAAGCCTGCCCACTCCTCTCTTCAGCAGAATTACTCATTCTTGGAGCTTCTGGAAACATGGCAATTTCCAACGCTTTTAGCAGAGAAAACCCTACTGGAGCATCTCAATGTGTAAAACAGAAGAATGTGGATTCTCTGGCTGTAAAGATAGGCAGCCAGACCCCTGCCTGCTCAGCCACCTCCCAAGCCTATCCCCTCCAACCCCACTTCCACCCCAGCCCCACAAAGCTTAGTTGTAAAACCACAGTGAGCGCTCCATAGTCCCATTTCTAAGTCCTTCTCACTGAAAGGTAATGATGTATCTTCCTGTCTACAGACTCCAGCAAACTGTGAGTTCTTCGAGAACAAGGGGTCAAATGCATGCTCTCCTGTCACCTACACCACGGCAGGGATGCGTGCCGTGACTCATCAATGCACAAATTAATGAAGTCAGCGTGGTCTACCAGAACGTCAGATGAAGCATGGATGTGACTCAGTCTGCAAGCAAAGAGAAGATGGGGCTGGCAGCTGGAGTCTCTGTGCTTCTCCTCGCTCTACTTCAAAATGCATCTGCAAATGTTATGTCTTTGGGAGAAGTCCTGGCCATCCATTTATCCACCTGCCCACCCACCGACTCATCTGTTGGTCCATCCATCCACCCACCTTCCCCCATTCATCCATCTGACAAATGTACATGTGGCACCTACTATTGCCGAGACTGTGGGGACTCACTGATGAGTAAAACAGGCAGTCTTTGGTCTCATGGAGCTTTCTGCTTATAGACAATACTGGCCAGATAGACACATGCACGCAAAAGCGTAACCCAGGAAAGTGGCCCCAGGGAGAGGTTCATGGTTCTAAAAGCCTGGGCTAGGCATGGCAGTCAGAGAGCGTTCCGTGCTGAACAGCTTGAGTTGAGAGTTAGAGGATAAGCAGATGTGAGGTTGGAGCAAACAGTTGAACCAGAAGCCAGAGGAAGGAAGTTGTTCAAGATGAGTCTGGAGAGCTAGGCAAGGCTGCGGCCACAGTAAGAGTTATATGCTCCGTCTTAAGAAAATGGAGGCTGTGGAGGGTTTTCGGCAGGGGAGTGACATGGCTGCAGAGAGGCCTCTAGCTGCAAAACGGATGCAGAGGAGAAGGGAGAACGTTATGTGGGGGCTCAAGGAACAAACAGCCCTAGTAAGAGGGTTGCAGGGCGAGTGGTTTCCCCAGGGGAGAGCTATGCATCTGGTATAAAAAGAGAAAAGAGAGTGAGGATGAAGGGGGCAGGGTCCTGATAGTCTGAGAGGGTGGTAGGAGGCAGACAGATGGGGAAGGCAGAGGTTCT